GCGCCAGGGAGGTCTGCGGTTCCCCACAGCCAAGTGGTCAGGATTGGCTCCTCAAGATCTAGAACCAACTCTGGTATGTCCTAGACAGCCAGCCAAAGGGGAATCCTTTCTTCATTTCTTATAGAGGAATTATTTTGAAGAAAATGAGGCATCAAATCTGCTCCCCAGTTTTCTCCCACTTTGAGGGATGCAGGCCGAGGGGTTCCTACTCCCCTCATAATATCATAAACCACCCATCAAAAATTACAGGCATGAGAAATGCTCCTAAGACCAGCCTAGAAAACCTCCTGTTTCATGACAGAGTCCAACAGAAACCATGCCTGCTGCTTCCCACTAGCTCTGTCCCTTCATTCATCCCTCCATTCATTCATTCATCCACTGCAAGCTTCCTGTGGGGAAGGCATTGTGCTAGGCACAGGTGGCGGAATAAAAATAAGCCAGTGACAGAAACAACCCTCAAAAAAGCAATTTTCATCCATCTGGAGAGAATAGAGATAGGAGGCCCACCCTAGAAGCAAGCAGAGTAATTACTTGATGTGACTTAGAAATGAAAAGCAAGCTCCCAGGGGTCTTCTCCTGCTGGCCTGGTGCCCACAGTCCCAGCGGACACATTCTGAGTGATTGTTGGACACATTCACTCCTTTGGGTTGTCAAGGTTCCAAGGCTCCACGGTTTGCGTGTATTAGTACAAAACAAAGAAATGGTACATGTCAGAGAACCCAGCAGAGGGTGGGAGGTTCTAACCCTGGAGGAAGGACCTGGAGAAGATCACATTTAATTTGGGGCTTGCTGGAGATCTTAAAAATAAGCAAGGGGGTTCAAGGCCTTCTGGACCAAAATGACAACCTAGCAACAGCTAATTCATATAGCAAATATTTGTAGATTTCCTTCTGCGGGGTCTCAGGATACAAAAAGACCTAAGACAATCTTGCGCTTTCAAGGGGCTATATTTGACCGCATGGGGGAAGTGTGGGATGGATCAGGCATTGTGGGGTCTGGAAGAAGAACATCAAACAGACCAGGATGGCAGGGCTGCCCCTAGAAGGGGTGTCTGTGTGAGCTCTGACCTGCAAGGGGGACAGAAGGATGCCCCTGCAGAAGAGGCAGCACTTCTAAGACGCGGGAGAGGAGGCTGTGATTTCAGGGGATCCGGCTGGAAAGGAAGCCATTGCAGGGGGACGAGCAGGACAGACACAGCTGGCGAGACAAAAGCAAAGGGTCAGTGCCAGGGAGATAGCTCAGTGGCATAAGCACCTGCCTGGCAAGCACAACGTCTTGAGTTCAATCCCTGGAC